TTGCCTTTGCTATGCAACAAATACTAAACCAGCAAAAGATAAATTTTCAACTAGAGCCTTTAAATGTGTTTTCATAGGCTATCAGCCTGGACAAAAGGCTTACAAAGTGTATGATTTAACTTCCAAACAAGTTTTTACCTCTAGGGATGTCACCTTCTTTGAAAATGTTTTCCCTTTTAAACAAGAAACAGATTCCATCTTGCCTTTACCCATGTCAACTGCTGACAGTGAGCATGTATTTGAAGAATCTGTTATTCCAGAACCAATTTCACAGCCTGAATCTTCATCACCCACACCTAATCTTACTCCTGATTTGGATTTAGAACTTACTGACCATTCAACACCAGGCCAAATATCAGATGTTGAACCTGCAGTTGAAATGCTACCACTTCAACCTAATCTAGACCTCCAACAAACCAGACATAGTACAAGGATTAGGAATAAGCCAACCTGGATGAAAGACTTTGTTACTAATCTATCTTTTACTGATCCAACTGCTGCCAATACTTACTTACTCAAAACCACACCCACTAGTTCCAAACACACCCCTCAGACTTTTCCTTTCATTCACTCACCACTGTTTACATGTGATTACTTGTCCTTTCTAGCAAATGTTACAACTATTCARGAACCAAAATCTTACAAAGAAKYCARTGTTAAAGCARAAWGRGTGCAGGCAATGAACAAGGAGTTAGAGGCTTTAGAATCAAACCAAACCTGGGATTTGATGCCATTACCTGCAGGGAAGAAACCTATTGGCTCTAAATGGGTATATAAGGTAAAACTGAAACCAGATGGGACAATTGACAGATGCAAGGCAAGATTGGTGGCCAAAGGGTACAATCAAGTTGTTGAGGTAGACTATTTCGAAAGCTTTTCTCCAGTAGCCAAGTTGGTTTCTGTCAGAATTTATTTAGCTATGGCAACTGCATTTTCTTGGCCAATTCACTAGCTGGATATAAATAACACTTTCTTGCATGGATTTCTCACAGAAGAAGTTTATATGTAGCCTCCAGAAGGGTATACAAAGGCTAAAGAAGGAGAAGTTTGCAAAGGAGATCTCTTTATGGCCTTAAACAGGCTTCCAGAGAATGGAATTCAGAATTTTGCAAGAAATTGCAAACTTATGGTTTTCTGCAATCACAACATGATCATTGCCTTTTTACTTTGAAATCTTCCACCTATTTTCTAGCTCTACTTGTGTACGTGGATGATGTTTTAATTACAGGAACTTGTGAAGAGCAGATCTTAGTTGTGAAGAAGTTTTTGGATRCTGAATTCACCATCAAAGATCTTGGTCTTGCAAGATACTTCTTGGGATTTGAGATTGCATGCAGTGATACTGGCACTTATATTAATCAGAGAAAGTATGCCTTAGATATCGTTACAGATGTTGGATTATTGGGTGCCAAGCCTACTGCAAGTCCTCTACCTAAAGGCCATAAATTCTCTTCTCAAGCAGGAGATCCTTTACTTGATCCTGACAAATATCGCAGATTGGTGGGAAGATTATTATATTTGAATCTTACTCGACCGGATTTGACTTATGCAGTTCAACAATTAAGTCAATTCGTTAATATACCCTGCAAAAGCCATTGGGAAGCAGCTCTACATGTTAAATACTTAAAGGGGACACTCAGTAAGGGTCTTTATTTTCCTGTCCAGAATTCTTTCAAGTTACAAGCATTCAGTGATGTTGACTGGGCTTCCTGCATTGACACTCGTCGTTCACTCACTGGATTCTGTATTTATCTTGGTCACTCTCTTATCTCATGGAAAACAAACCACAGTGTCACGTTCTACAGCAGAGGCTGAATACCGCAGCATGGCTTCCACAGTCATCGTTCACTCATTGGATTTGACTTATGCAGTTCAACAATTAAGTCAATTCGTTAATATACCCTGCAAAAGCCATTGGGAAGCAGCTCTACATGTTGTTAAATACTTAAAGGAGACACTCAGTAAGGGTCTTTATTTTCTTGTCCAGAACTCTTTCAATACCTGTATATTCTTCCTGCATATTCAGTGCTGCTCACAGCTCATTACAGCTCACCATTTATCTAGTTATTAGCTTTATATTATTCTTTTATTTTATAGGGTGAGGTGGCAAATTTGTTAGAGAGTGTGTTATTTTCTAGATCATTCTTTTTTGTCAGCTTGTATGTATATGTAGAGAGAAGGACCTTTGTGATTATTATTAGCTTCTGGAATAATATTTTTCAGAGCTTTTCCTTCTCTTCATTCTATCTTTGCTCACCTAACCTTCATTAGAATCTCTGGTTTTGGTTTTGTTCAAGTGTAGCAGGATTCCGCCTCATAAGAACACCATTGTCACTGCTAGAGACAAAAAGCAACAACAAGAACCATAATAGCGTACACTAGAGGAAGAATCACCAAATCTTCCGGTGCATGAACAATAGGAGGTGTTTTTTGACAAAGACCCTATCCACAACCATCTAGCCAGCCTCATTGGCAAAGTACGGTATGTAGGAGCACCTCAACAAGCTGGAGGACATCCAACACTAATGCTTTGTCAAATTAATGGTAAAGTAGGCCAACTCTTTAGTTGGTTGAAAGAGAGATTTGTAGCATTGTTGGCCTAACAACTAGCACTAGAGGCACTTGAGCCCAAATCTATGGCTTAGGTGTCAGTTCATCGATGCCAAGAACCTACCATCAACTGACCCTGAGAACTAGAACACCACCAGCTTGGCTCTTCATCACCAAGAACCTCACCAATACCACCCCTAGCACCTTGCCCACCATCCCCGGCATCTTAAGTCCTAGGAACATTAGATTTGGGTTTACTAGCAGGGGTGACTAGCGTGACCGCCTATAGGAAAGAAAGAGTTGTTGGACTATCTCCAATCAGTTGTGGGAGGTGGTTCAAGTAGTAAAGTTTATCAATCTTTATACCAAAAACATTATTGCCAGTGGATTGCCCAGAAAACCTACCCTCATCTTCTTGGCAACAGTATTATGGCATCAATGGCAATGCCAAGGAGAACATCATCAAGTTCGAGGATGCACTCAACCCCTTTGCAATGGACGGAGACTTGGAGGTAAAAGATTTTTCTAAGTCTTTAACGGTCTTGGTCTATACTTTGTTTACCAATATGGCGTTAGGGAGCATCCAATCTTGTGAGGAGTTGGTAGAGAAGTTCCTATCGAAGTGGTTCATGGTGGAGACCAGGCTCACTATGGCCAATTTGAGGGGAGTTTGCTAGTACGCTAATGAGGAGCTACTGGTGTATCTAGAAAGATTTAGGACTCCACCCATAAGATACATGATGATCGGGTGAGGAAAGCTATCCTAGTGGAGGAGTGCATCAGAAACATGAACGCCCACTACTACGTGAACCTAGAAGACCTAAACTTGTAAGACTTCACCAGCTTGTGGAAGTGCGCCAAGAGGATGGCACAGACATTGAAGAGGTCCAGAGAAGTCCATGGATGGGGGCAACACTCACAGGAGATAAAGAAGGAAGCAATACAGGTAGGTCCCTATCTTGTGGAAGAGGAGGAAGAGGAAGAGGAAGGCCAAGTTCGCCACGACAACACATCCCCATCCCCCTCACATGTGGGAAGAAAGAAGTACTGGCCATCATAAAGAGGCTATTCGTAGAAGGCAAGATTTAGAGGCCACAAT